GTGGCGTCTCCTGGAACAGCGGTTGTTGCACTCCACAGTGGTCCAGGGATGAGGATCAGTGGGTGGCGGGGAGGCGGACTAATAGAAGAAGGAAGAGGACGGTGGCGAAGCTCCCAACCACGAGAGAGGTACACGACAGAAGAGAGAGTCAACTTCAAGCGAAATGCTAGAGGGGATAAGGCTGATATCCAACACCTCCAGAAGAAGGCGAATGGAGCTAAAAGGTAGGGACTCTATCGACTTCCAGTGAATGGAAACTAGGTCGCCGCAAGCTTCCGCTACTTTCCTGAAGGTCGCGGGGGACCAAGCATGGAGAGGGACGTGGTCTAGGGTAAGCCAGACACGTTGTTTTCTGAAGGACCCGTGACAGGGGGCCCATGCCCGAAGCGAGCAAGAAGGGCTTTGGAAGGTGGCTGAAGAGGGTGCATTAAGGGCACACAAAGCAAACTCAAGGAATGGGAAGAAGAAGAGGAAATCTCCACCAGAGATGCGTCTGCAAGTGAGAGAAGGTTCACGCCAGTTACGTTTTGCCCATCGTTCTATGCCTCGCACATCGTCGCGCGTAAGATGAAACCTGGCCACTAAACAGGAGGCGAGTTTAAGCTTAAGTTGGGCAGAAACATCAGTGGGGGTAGGGATGATGCAAGGTAGAAAAGGGGTGGGAGAGCATATTAGGAGGGTCAGTCGGAGCTGAGGTAGGAGGAGCAAAGGTAACCACCTGAGAGAAGGTTGCCTTGTAAGGTTGCTTAGACGCCTCACCTGGCGGATCAGGACCCCAAGGAAGCGGGGGAAGGGCTTTGGTGGCTAGATGCTGGGGTCTAGGAAGAGGGGGAAAGGTTTTGGGGTAAAGGGCGTAGATCTGGTCCCAACTGAGAGGAGGGGGGTGAGGAGGACAACGACGTTTCATGAAGTTGATTTCAAAAAACTCACCACGTGAGTTTTGAAACAGTGATGGTTACCAATTTATGGAACTTTCAAGTAGAACATGAATTACGGGGAGAACCTAAAAGGGTTGGTGCAAAAGAAGTGCATAATGCTACAAGCATGAATTCTCAGCACACAGTCTCATATATCAATTTCTATTCTATTTTAAAGGATGTATATTTTGATTTTAGTTTTACGGTTTAATTTTAGGGTTTTTTAGTTTCTAGGAATTCTGGGGACTTTTTAGATATTTTAATTAAAGTTACAGACTTTAGTTTCAAGTTATACTTAAGTTAGAATATTTTGGTCAAAAGTTAGTTGTATGGACAAATATTATCTAAAACAATAATTTTTCAATATAAATAAGGGCATGGATGGGCCGAAGAGTCATTCATGTATTCCTCTTTAAGAAAAAAATACTGTCTTGTAAAAGAAACCTAAGGCTTGAGCCCTAAGTGGGAAAAAACCCTAGGGTTTCTCCAAAATTGTGTGCTTCTTGCTAATTTTTCTGGGTTTCTTCAAGTTCTTCTACATCACTTCTTCACCTACCTGAGAGAATATTATGAGAGAATTGAAGAAGAATCCCTACATGAACTGTTCCTACCAAGAAGTCACAACTTGTAATGAAAAGGCACAATGGGAAGACGCCATGATTGATGAATTTAACTCGATCAAACAAAACAATGTTTGGGAACTAGTTAAACTACCTCCTTATGGAAATCCCATAAGCTGTAAGTAGATTTATAAGAAGAAATTAAACTCAAAAGGGAAGTTGGAGAAATACAAATCCAAATTAGTTGATAAAGGCTTGACCCAGAACGAAGGAATTATTCATGATGAGACCTTCTCCCTTGCAGCAAAATTCCCTTCCATTAGAATCCTAATAGCTATAGCAGTCCATTTCGCCTTCGAAATCCACCAGATAGTTGTTAAGACTGCATTTATGAATGGGGAGTGAGAAGAAGAAATTTATATGAGACAACTAAAGGGCTTCATAGAAAATGAAAAGGAAAACCTAGAGTGTAAACTCAATAAGTCCCTTTATCGCCTTAAAAGAGTTTGATTAGCAGGTTCCGAAGTAATCTAAGCATGGAGCACTGAAAGGCCATCAAAAGAGTACTACGATATTTGAAGGGAATATGCACTCACTTATGGAGGCGGCACGGATATACAGATACAAGGATATTCAAATGCCAACTATTAGGGCGATTCAGATGAGATGAGGTCATCATCCGGATATATCATCGTGTTTGCAGATGACGTTGTTTGTTGGTGCTCAAAGAAATAGGATATTACTACACTCTCAACTATGGAGTTAGAGTATGTACCCTGTTTTTTAGTTGTGAAGTTCCTGAATCAACTCAAATTTGATTCAATGAAGTGCACGAGTGTCAGAACTATTTATATGATAAAGAGTCGAGGTTTCCCAAGAAATCAAGGCATATAAAGCCGTGCTACTACCACATTCGCAACGAGATCCGAGCAGGAGACATTCAAATGGCATATCTCCCGACAGAGGCTATGTTAGCATATCCTTCGACGAAAGGATTGGTGGCAAAGGTTTTTGGATGGGCTTGAGAGAAATTAAGAGGGAGTGATTTGTATGGCCTTCAAAGGCTAAGTAGGAGGTTTTGTAGCCTTTAAAAGCCTAGAGAGCTTGTAAATATGATATTTCATTGTGGAATATACACTTTAGTGGGAGTGTGTGTTAACTGACCAAGGGTTTGGTGGCCCAAGTCATGTCCAAAACCCTTATCCCTGGGCATGTGGCACTACCGAGAAGGGTTTGCAGTGGATCATCCCTTGTTCAGGTCGAAGAGATGCCCAGGGATGATATTTGTAGGTCAGGATAACTGTGTGGTCTCCTTTGTGCAGTTGTAAGCCTATGAGAGCAAGGGTAAAAGCCTCAACAAACTTTATCATGGCATGTACATATGACAGCTGCATTACTGGGAAGCAGTCTTATAAAGGGACACGTGTACATGTATATTGAGAGAGCTTCTTTTGCACTCTAGTGACAAGTGCTAAGCATGCTCTTCAAAGAGAGAACTGAAATCCACATTCCACGATCATGATCCCACTACTTATTGTCCAACTTTGATAAGCCAATCATGAGCCCCTGAAATAAAACTGTGGGTCATGAGTCTTTATTGGGTTGAATAAAAAAACAATAGTCGATCATGGTTTCTAAGGCAAGTGGAGTTCCCTTTATTGTCGTTATTTTTGACCTATTGGTATCAGTCCACTCCTAATATATTTTATTTAGGTATTATAAAAAAAATTATAATTTTAAATCTTTTTTCGAAATTTTAAAATATTATTTCTTCTGTAATATTCATCAAAAGGATAGTTTTGAAATTTGCAGAACTTAAAATAACATATGTGGTACCAGGGATCCAGCCCCACGTGTGTGTTTTTTTTTTAAGAATGGGGACCACATACACCCCTAGTGGACCACACGCCAATTTTTTTTTATAGGAAAAAGTGGGCGTGCCACTTTTTTGGGGAAAAGGGGGCACAACGTATATTTTCATAGTGTTGTTTAAATTTTAAATTGGTTAAGAATAGGAAATCTATTTAATTTTAAATTGGATTTTGTTTCCTATCCTAGTGAGTTTTTAAAATATAGATTATCCTAGATTATAGGAAATCTAGATAATGATAAGATTGGTTATATTTTAAATTTGAAAAAGAGTTGGACTTGGGTCAAAATTAAAAGGGATAAGGTTTCTATCCTTCGACCTAAAATCATGATGGTTGATTTGTAGGGATGGATGGCTCTGATTAAATCTCTCACCCCACATTCCTAATTATTCTAAACGTCTAACTAAAAATTGGATGAGGCATACTTAGATTGGAATCATATTCAAAATAGAAAATAAATCTTGTTTCTATTTAAACAAGATTTCAACCCCCTCTCTTGTTACAAAAGATTTCTCTCTCATGCCCTAAGATCTCTCTCCCTTTCTCTCTCTCTCTCTCTCTCTCTCTCTCTCTCTCACACACACACACACACACCACAATTCTCTCCTCTATTTTTTCTTCACGCACCTAAAAGAAGGGGAGAGGCTCCTCTTATTATTCATGCCACCCTCTCTCTCTTCTATTTTTTATCATGCCAGTCTCTCTCCAATTATCGGAGTAAATTCTATCAAAAGAAAATAAAAAGACAAAAGATGGGACATGAAACCCTAAGTGGGGTTTCTTATATTTTGATGAAAGATGGGAGAAGCTCAGCCTAGAGAGAGATCAACTCACGAGTTTGGTCCTATTTTCTTCCCATAGGATTTCAATAAACCATTGTTGGTTTTTTAGCTTTCTAAAAACCGTAGGAAAAGAAGTATTGTCTATAAATCTTCTCTATCTCAGAATTTTTAAAAACACCTAAAAGAGTAAAAGTGCGCCATCGGTCAGGGAATTGGGTGTGGGGTGTACCAAGACCTGTACAGGTAACTCCAGGCATCCTCCAGTATGTCTTCCAAGTAGTTTTAATTAATTTTCAGAATTATTTCTTATTTTCTGTAAATCTCAGTTTTGTATTTAAAAACTATAGTGGAAGTTTGTTTAAGGCTCTTGAATAGTTTCTATTTTTTTTGCAGTAAAAATAACGATCCTAAGTTGTATCTAGGGTATTAATTTGATTTACAGCAATATTTAGTGGCCTTTGTATGTGGAATTCAAGTATACTGAATAAAAGTAAAATAAAATTTTTAATTTAATACCTTGAGTTCTACATAGTCACACCTTTCACAACATGTATGTACCAAGAAAAATTATACATTCCGCCATAAGAGCCACACACACACGTACCAACATCATCATCCATAGAATAGAAAATAACCTTGAGAAAGTAAGCGAAACTAGATAACCAATATAAAATAAATAAATAAATAAAGGCAACTTGATAACCAGCAGCATTACACAAGTGAAGATTTAAGAGATGCAAAAACACAAGCAAATCCTAACGTCTCCTTTTATAGAATACAACCTAAAGAATGTAAGGTTCCAATTAGCAAAGCGAAAACAGCCGTATAAACCAAAACAAAAATAGTAGCTGAAACTTCATTATCACACACCTTGAATATAAACGGGCTTTTGAGACAGCCCAAGAGCAGACATATTTGCACCTAGAATTTGGATTTCTTCATTTGTATCTTCCATGCAGACTGAGCTGCCCAAAAGCCCATGGTGTAATGTCTTCAAAAAGGACAGAGGAGCTTCGAACACTCTTGCAACTTTTTCATCTGCTCCACTAACAAATAGATGATTACCTTTTCCTTGAACAATAGTAACACAGTTAATATCATGACCATGAACTTGTGGACGAGCTATTTCATGCCATAAAGCTCGTTTTCCGAGACATTTCTCTCTTTCCCATGGACCAAAAATACGAGCTGTCTGTCATTTCCCATTTTTAGGGTTAGCTTAGAAGTTGTTTAGCTAAAGTTGCTACCAAAATTTCAAGCAAAAACACATGAACTATATCAATTTACAATAGAAGAAAATAGCTTACATGCATAATAGCAAAAGGTGACTGAGGCTCTTGGATACATATTCAATTACATGAGGGCAACTTAAAAACTGTATTTAGAAATAATTTTGCAAGATTCACTAGTCTATCACGCCATGAATCAATAGGAACTCGTCAAAGTTCTCCTTAATACCGACAAGAAAAATATATAGGAAAAATAATATTGTAATGAACTAATATACTTCAACAAAGGTTCACTGGGACACGAGAGTTATTATGATGAGAACAAAGAATACCATGCTATAAGAAGAAAACAGACTAGTACTTGTTGCTAATTGTTATATAAAATAGACTAGTAAAGGCTGGAAACTGTGAAGTTTATTACGCGGTGTATATCAGGATAAGTATGATCTTTAAGTCATGTAGATTTTCATATTCCCTCTATATGCTATCATTGGAATCAGCAACAGCTATCATACACATGCAGAACACGATAGAGCCAGACAAAAACATACACACTTGATTTCTAGTTTTAGAAATATTTGCACTTTATTTCTAGTTTCCTCTTCCATTGATTAAAATTAGTAGTGCCAGCTATTACAGGTAAGACGTCAACTCAAAATAAAACCTGATGAACAGCAAAGAGAATTGCACCATCTGCTTTAAGTCAGAAATCTAAGTGTTCAGTACTATAGAAGCAATATGCAGCCTGATATAGAACGCCTGAAAAAATGTCAACAAAGATATGAATTTCAGTTTCCTGAGACTGTAACATTAGCATTAGCATTCAACTATGTACCTGATCATGACTAACCGACAGCAAAAACTTGGCAGATTTAGACCATCTAAGGTCGGTCACTGCTGCACTGTGGCCAGATGGAACCAGTTGAGGCTGCCAATCTTCAGATTCCCCCCCAACATTCACCCATAGATGGAAAGACCCACCATATCCATGTGCAAGAATAGACTCTCCTTTAGGGCCCCATTGACCTCCATAAAACCCTAAAGCAGAATGGCTCAATTCACCAACGGTAACCTCATTCATCCAAAGCCCAGAGGTGCGTTCAGGCCTCCATATCATCATTGTTTTGTCCATAGATGCAGATAACAGGCTCAGAGGCTGACACCACTCACAATTTTCTGGTAAAGACACATGCAGAGGAGGTTGCCATGCCACTGAGTATACCCAATCTTCATGACCGATGAGAAGGGATTCAAGAGAAATTTGAAACCTGATAAGACCAGACCTAAAAATTGGACCTTCAATGTAAGATTGTAAGCCCAGCCCATTCTCCTTTTTATTGGCAGAAGCTCTATGCAAAGCTATCTTCCATATTCGTATACTTCTGTCCTGAGAGGAACTTGCCAAAAGGAGGCTTTCCTCACCACCAATACAAACAGGTAATGAAATATCCAAACCTCTGATCCAATCGGTGTGCCCCTTCAACTCACAAGCAAGGGAAAACTGTATGAAGAAAGGAAAGGGAAATAAAGAACTTGATTAACATTAAGTAGGATAAGTCAACGGATAAATCCACAGAAGGAAAATCCCAAACCTTTCTGGAACTTTCTCCACAATAAATATGAATCTTGTTATCAAGACCCCCCATTGCCAAAACTACATTTCCGCTGTTTCCTGGCAGCTCTGCCATAGACAAGGCAACCATTGGCCTTGGGCTCATGTTTATATTGCTGAGACATGTTAACTTACAATCACCTGCAAAATCCACAAGATAAATGAGAAGCCTCTTTTAGAGAACGTGCTAGGAAATGATCGAGCAACATAGAATCACTGACTCTACTAAGCACATTTATCAATCTCATAATTGACACAATCATAACAACTGAGCCAAAGGGAGAAGCACCACCTGCATGGTCAACCACACTAACAATATCAATACCTTCCACAAACTGACTAAAGAAAATTTAAGCCAGCCTTTGTTATTTTAAGTTCCAGCCAGCCAAGGATCGAGGCTTATAAGGAAATTTATTGATAACCCGAGGAATGCAGAAAATTTTATTAGAAAAAAAGAAAAAGCCTAATCTCAAAGTTACTTTCGAAACGTTGGTTAATCAAAAAAGAATTTATGCAAAATGCACCGCACAGATATTAGAGGCATGGCAAATACTGGGAACAGCCCATTAGGGAAAACAATCATTGTCAGCATTTCCAAGTTTGTTTTTTGTGGTTAAGCAATCAAATTTATATATTATAGGTAATTTATAGTAACTTTTACACAAACCGATCATGAATCCGAAACCAACGTTATATGCTCATGCTAGGGCATTCCATGTACTGAAGGTATGGCCCTTGATAGAGCAGAATGACATAATAAGATTCACGTAGGCGACCACAAATATTTGGGATGAGGCTTGGATGACAATGATAGTACGTAACCCATAGTAACTCAAGGGATAAAGAGTGTCCACATGCGGCTACACACCTTAGTTAACTGAAGAATGATAAGGGACCAAGAGCAGGTAATAATTTTCAAATGGTCCATCACTGCAATACACCTAACAAGCATATAAAACAAAGAACTATACAATTCTTTTTTCAAATAATAATGATGCACAAATATATAACAAAAGGAAACCCATAAGCATTAAAACCATTCTAAAGGAAAATATTATTAATAGAAGATTCAACTAACAGAATGATGACCTTGAGGACTAGTTTATAAGCCAAATGATGGAAATTTTGCAGACCCCACAAAGCAAAATTGGACAAACAGAGATTTTCCCAGATTTTGTCTTTGAGAATGGATTTTCCCAGATTTTTTCCCCTTTCGTTCTTCCTTTTTCCATTGTCACTTTTTGCTTTGTCCCTAGGTAAACCCAAGGAAGTTGACATATTCCACTGCTTTACCTATTTGTTATCTATCAAAATAAAACATAAAAAATAAAATAAAATCCAAATTGGAAGAGCTCATTAAGTCAGCTCAAACAGGGTTGCACATATTGATTCCATGGATGGGTAAGCAGTTATGTGAACCTTTGGACCAAGAAATCTAATGAAAAGAAATTTCTTAGTTTGGAGATGAACCAGGCGAGAGATCCTTTGGATAGCTAATACATAAAGCCTGTGGTTTGTGCAAACCAAAGCGAAGGGATGACATGGTAGGAATTAAACAGTATAAGATATAGTCGAGGCCGTCTCTGGGTACTGAGTTTGCTTCTTTTCCCTTTTAACTATTTTTCTTTCTTTTCAAAGGTGTAAAGTAGTACTGGTTTGGAGCTCCCACAAGCAGTTAAAAAATGAACATGACACACCAGTGTTCCACATGCATCTAAGCTATGAGAAACTTCGGTCCAAAACTAAGTACGGCTTGATAAGTTGGCACATTTATTTTGATCTAGCAAAACCACGAAGCATTTGTTTAAATAGCAGAAGTTTGACAAAAAGTCATATACGCAAACTCATGGCTTACATGATAGAATAAATAAGTGAACAATCTCCCTTCAAAGGGTTGCAACTTCAAGCCCTGCTCAAGTCATTTCCTATGCTCAAATTACTCTCCCGTGCAAAAGAGTGTTGACAAGCACCGAACTGTTGACACGTGGAAATCCGACACCAGGCCAAGTATCACAGTAACACTACCAACAAGAAGGCCGCCTACTGTATCACGATTCATGAATATGACACTACAAAAAGTTTTTGAGTTCAACAAATAAGACAGTTTATCGATTGTCCACCAGGTGGATCTTGGTTTCTCCATATCGACATCTGTCTTGTTCTTACTGAGTTAAACTAGGTGAAGCTTTGGACTCTGGAATTTTCTCATATAGATGTTTTTTAAATAATTTTCCCCTATTGATGTTGTTTATTGTCTTGTTATTCAAGTAGTTTATGGCCTTGTTATTCAAATCTTCTATGGTCCTTGTAAATAATCGTAGAAGCATCATATTCAAATAGACAGCCTAAGTTTGATGTTTATTAATTTTCCCGCATTTTCACATCATAGTCATTAAGAAACTCAAAGGCAAACACATTTCCTCTTTCCACAGCTACCTTGGGACAGCTGAATCCACCAAGGCTTAGGCGAATGCACTGCTCAAAGGATTAAAGAGGTTTAACCCAGCTTGGAGTGAAAATCTTATAGTGGATGAGGACTCTGAGTACGTCATCTTGTGAGCCAATAGGAGAAGCCAATACCCATGGAGACAGTTCCTATAGTTGATCAGGTCGTTCATCTTTGCAGTCATCCTCAAGCCATCTTCCGTCATATTTGGCAGGAAGCCAATTCAGGCAGCCGATGCTCTGTCTAAGGAAGGGCACTGCAGAAGGTGGTGCCCACACCACTTGAAGTTTGTTGTCTCATTTTCTTTTAACCCATTTATCCCCTCTCTGTCTTTATGGTGGCTCTCTCTCTCTCTCTCTCTCTCTCTCTCTCACCACCCAAAAATAAAAAATAAGAAAAATAAAGGGGAATAGGCCTCTCTGCCTCCCACCATGTTATAGGCCTCCTTCCTGCCTATGTTTCTTATTCCTCTCTTCCCCTCCCAACTTTCTACTTCCTTTCCACCCCAACATCTCTACACTATCCTTTTTCTTATCCTCACCCCAATGCCTATTTTTTCTCTTCAATCCTTCCTTCTCTTCTTCCCTCCTCTCTCTCTTTTCTTTCTATCTTTAGCAACTCTTGAAGTTAATATTTTTCTCTAATTTGTGATAGAAAAATTAAGACCGCTTGAGCCCCCAAAATGTGGGATGCCTACACTTCCTTTATTGGACTATTTTTTGGATTTCTACCTTTGGTGACATGTGGCCTGCCACTACCTCACTTCTCATGAGATCTTTTGTAACTATTATCACAGTATTACATCGTCACCCACATCAACAAACATTAAGAGATTTCATATGTTTAGCTCTTATGTACTTGTACTTAAATCAAAGCCACAAAAATGTAAAGAATGCAACATAAACACATATCCCTAAATAGAAGTCTCCTGGGGATGATATTCCAGTCACACAGGAAATTTCAGTAATGAATTAGCATCCAATTTTCATAAGTTTATACAGTTCTGATAAAACAAAGAAAAACCTTTAAATCTCAGCCATCCAAGATTTATCATCCTGGTCACTCAAAAATTAATAATAATAATAATAATAAAGTCACAGCACTAGCTTAAGAGGAAAAGACCAAACAGCCCAAATGCTGGACGAAAATGACAATAAAATCTTAGTGCTAAAAAATCCCAAAATGCCCTAAAAAACATAGTCTAAACATCCTCAAAAAATCACCAAAATTTAGGAACATCCATGTGGCCAGAATGGGGACTTTTTACCCTACAAAATGTTGCCGGCATTGCTGACATCTGTATGAGAAAGAGGCAGCTTTCTGACATCCTAGTTTATGATGTTATGAAGTTATGGAAAGAGGCAGCTTTCTGACATCCTAGTTTATGGAACTAGCATGACATCATTGCGACATTCTAGAATAGTGTTTCGGGTAGAATCATGCCAAGAACAATGGACAAGAATCGAAGTCACATAGGGGAACCAACCCTAAACCAATCAAGAATGTGATTATCAAGAAACTTAACCAACATATCACAAGCATGTCTACTATGTAGCATGTTGAACAATATATCAAACAACTTTCAAAAGCATACACAACCTAACTCTTTCCATAACAACTCGGAATGCCTCAAGATTTGGCAATAGCAGGTGCGAAGTAAGAGTTCTGTGCTTAAATATTGTATAATGTCAGCATTCAATTCCTTAATACCACAAAAGAAGGACAATAAAATTTTGTGCATCACCCAGCAACTACAATATGGAAGTAACTGACAGCCATGGAGTGTAACCTAAAGTTAATCAAACTCCAGTAAGCTAGTTGTTCAACTTACCACCAGCAGTAGATGGAAGGACAATTTCCCATACACAAACAGTACAATCTGATGATGTAGAAGCAAATAAAGCAAGAGATGGGGAAAGTGTGAGCCCAGCAATGCATGTCACCCCTCTTTGGTGTGGTTTCTCTATTTGTAAGACTTGCCTCCACTGTGAAGAAAGACAAATATAAACATATAGCAGCAAAATTGGTAAAACAATCATATTACTAGCGAATTTGTCAATTTGAGGAAACTAGACAAACTTTTCAACCATAAAATTAAGTACCTTTCTTTCTTTAAGGAGGACTGCCCATAGGATGATACTTGCATCAGCACTTCCAGAAAGAAGAAAATGCTCATCGGCATGCCAAACTATGAACATTATTATGAACCAATCCATTTATTAAATAAATTAGTTTCCTGAATAATAGGAATTACTCAAATCTAAGAAGCCATAAAGTAAATCTGTTGATGAATGAAAAAATGGACACTACAGAAGTTTGTTACTGCTAGAAAGATAATAACAATAATAGTTACTAAGTCTTTGAATTAATGATATTTGGAATATTCATCCTGCAGAAATTGGTGTGGATGGTAGTCTTCAGATTTTGAAAGATTCATTGAACAAATTATTATCAACACTATCAAATGCATTGAGTTAGGCTGCATTACTAAAAGAGAGCAAGGCCCTGCCAAGGCACCCAACCATGCCTACGCACTTAATCAAACTAGCCTGGGCAGGTGCCCACCTACGAGAGCAAGGCCCTGCCAAGGCACCCAACCATGCCTAGGCACCTATGCAGGCACCTTGATGCCCTGAGACGAGGAAAGAAGAAAACCTTCGGCCAACAGAAAAATGGTTTTTTTTATTCCATAAAGGAGGGAAAAGGATTTTGGGGAGATATTTACAGTGAATTTGAAAGAGAAAAACCAATGTTGTCACTTCATTTTTCTTCTCTCCCATCTTTTGCTTTATCTTCCGTGCATTTATTATTCCTTACCTTATGATTACCTCACCTCCCCTCTTCCCTCTCCTGTGCAACAACGGGCCCATACACGTGGCACCTCACTCTCTCCACTTGCCCCTCATGCTCATCCTCTTCTTGACACTTGTCATGTGTCCTAATAAACTATATTATTTCTCTTATATTAGGCTTTTGGGATGAAAGAGAAAGAGGGAGAGGAATGAGAGGTACGAATGAGAAAGGGGAGGCTTAACAAAACCAGGGAGCTCATGGGAAGTAAGGTGTGAGGTTTTTACGGATTTAGTGAGCATTCTCTCTCTAGTTAGAGACAGTGAAGCACTAGTCTCGCGTAAATTTCAAGTAACATGTTATGTTATATTTAATGATATATTTTGGCGCGGGATGATCATGTATATGCTTCATTTTTTCCCAATCGATGTTTTAATGTAGTATACCGATTGGATGATGTTTTTGTAGTGAGAGAGATGTTTATTTTCAATAGATGTTTATAGTATCATACCAGTTGGAAAGACATATCAGTATTTTATAGCTGTGATTTTGTACAGTTCACATGAGTGAGCAACTCAGGGACTCAAGAATAATTTTTCGATCTGGCTATATCCTGAGAGTGTATTCGCCAGAACCCGTTTGCACCGAATTTTACCAAGATGGGGGGGTTTAACAGTTTGAAATTGGGCGTCTCACCATGGTTTACCAAAAATCACAGTGGACATGAACTCCCAAACACAGAACCTAAAAACAGGGGATCTGGAGGCACGAGAGGAGCTCGAGAAGTCTTTGGACCACCACTTTTATTCTCCCATCTTTTTGCTTTTGTCCTATTTGCTTTTAATGGTGTTTTGCACATGATGACCTCACCATCCTTCTCCCTCTCCTTCCAAAGGCCACGTGCCTTAACACATGGCAAGTCTCTCTCTCCAAGTGTCTCTCTCCCTCTTGCATGTATTGACAATTCTCTACCTTCCAATATAATATTAGTTTTTTAGTATTTAAGCTTTGGGGAAGAGAGAGAAAGCACAAGGGAGAAGTACGAGCTTGGGAGTGTGAGGGGTGTGAGACTAAAGGCAAAAACCAGCAACCATTAAAGTGGGGCATGAGGTGTTTCAAATGCACAATGAACTCATAGAAGTTATTTCTTGATGTTTCATCTTTCATTGAGTGAGATCAATCTTGTTGTTGTGAATTTTGAGAGTTTTTGAGCATGCAACTCAGTAACTCTGATAGATTTTGATCTGGCAGTAGCCTAGGGGTGTATTTACCAAATACCCTATTGCATCTCGGTTTTGTACCGGGTAGGGGGTGATCAACACTTCGAAGAAAGCGAGCTCCTCTCGTTCTTTCGAATCTCAGAGTTTTATTGCCACTTCATTTAACCTCGGAATCCTACTCTGATTCCTACAGGAATCCGCCTAGTACTAGAAGTGTTTCAATTTCCTGATATAACCTCTGAATCCAAATCTGATTCCTACGAGAGTCCGACTGGTACTGGGAGCGTTCTAGTTCTATTCAGGCTTTATCCCAGTCTAGGCGAGGTGGTGTCTAATTTTTTCCAAGATGTGAAATAGTGAAAGGCTTATCGAGCGTACATTAGACTTATCGATCATAAGTTACACTTATCGAGTGACAGTCAGATTTATCGGGTATCAGTTAGACTTATCGGGTGTGCGTTAAGCTATCAACTGTGTGTTAAGCTATCGACTGTTCATTAAAGCTATCGCATGTGCGTTAAAGCTATCGACTGTGAGTTAAAGCTATCGACTGTGCGTTAAAGCTATCAATTGTGCATTAAAGCTATCAACTGTGCGTTAGGTTATCAACTGTGCATCAACTATCACCACAACAGAGCTAACACGCCAAACATTAGAGGTAAGTTAAAGTATCTAAAATATTTCGCTTTCAACTAAAAAAGATAGAATGAAACAAATACATTACAGTTATTGAACAATCATTTTATCTCCTTACCTAACATTAATTGGGTAATACTTGAAAAAACCACATAAGACCCTTAGTATAGGATTGTAGTTCACTAAAACACAAAAACTCAAAAATGTATTCACCCAAAAAAAAATCAAATATGTAAAATAGTGGCCCATCCAAAATGTGTTGTTTTACACCAATAAAAAAAATTGAAAAAGGTGAAATTAATCAAATTTTTATACATAGAAAGAAAGCAACAAAATGCTTAAGAAAATCTAAATATTCGATTCTCACCCTGAATTCCTAGCTCCCTAAGTTTTTAGTTGTCACTGATCTCTCTTGCTCTCCATATTGATGCTTTAGTTTAGAGAGAGAAGATTTTTAGTTGGGTTATTCTTACTCGAAATCTGCCTATTATTTTAAGATTGATAGATTATTTTTTGGGAATATATTGCTCATATTTAAGAAAATTTATTACGGAATTTTTTATCAAATCAAGATTCTCAATTTAGTCCCACTTTTAATGTGTGAAGATATTAAGTCAATGAAGAGAAAAGAAGTTTCAATAAATCTATACAAAAGAAGACTTTTTAGTCCCACTTTTAATGTGTGAAGATATTAAGTCAATGAAGAGAAAAGAAGTTTTAATAAATCTATACAAAAGAAGACTTTTTGAAAAGTTATTTCTTTTAAAAAAGTATATATCAAATACGGATTTATATCGGTTCCATTAAAAAGAGTGATTTTTTTAAGATCTTTAGAAAACTCGGAGTTCTTAACAGATTTCAATTTTTTTTAAAAAAAATCGCGTTTTAATTGGAGACTTGCTAACTATGAGGCATACTATGGGTACCAAAGTTCAACTAGGTGAGGGCTTGAAATAGGCTTCCATGATGTGAACTTCAGAAGAACATGAAAATCCAAGGGCCAGCTAAAATTCCATAAGCAAAAACCTCGAGTGCCCCAATGGAAAATGAAAATCTTGATTAAAAGAATTTGGAGATTAATCAAATCCCCTAGGTCTCATATCCGTAAAGAGATGGCTGAACTATGCTGTATATGATATTTATTTAATAGGAAGTAATCCCCCAAAAAAACCACCCATATGTGCTATTCATTCAAGAAGGTCAAATATGAGTAGGCATCCCAAAGATTCTACGCCAGACTCTTTGTGGTAAGTGGTAAAATACACTACTGGCCTTTATCACCTTAACAGTACTTCTGTTATTTCTTTAAGAGCCTTAATTTCAATGAGCAAGTACACAATTTCCTCCAATAAATTTTATAAATCGCACTAAAACTGTCAAGTTCTCTTTGAAAATTGTCAACAGAATCAGTCCAAAGTTGAAGGTTAGTATCCAAAGCAATTAATATTTATCAATGCAAGCAACCACAAAAAAGAATAAAAGTAACAATAATCAATGATAAACGGTAATACCTAATAGAATGCGAAATAAGGGCAGAGAGAGGTGAGAGAAGAGGGGGGGTTGAAAGGAAAAAACACAGATTTCACCTATCAAAAGACGTGCTTCCCTTATCTCACAAATTAACTCACAGCATTGAATTTCAAACAAGAAAAGGCCATACCTTTAGAAACATCATAATTACAAGGTATCCATTCAGTACAATTTACAACTGCATTGTGTCCTGGAAGTGTAGTCACAATTTGTGCACTCTGTCGAACAACATTAAAGTTACACCATACAATGAGAACAACTTCAAATGGAATTTTGAGCGAACAACTTCTAGAAAATAAAAGACAGTACACATATAAAACCTTTGGGCACAAGATAGCAACTGCATTTTGAGCACCAAAAGCGACTAAGTCACATGCACCCCAAGCAACAGTGTTGACAAGTCTGTTGCATCCAGCTCCAATGAACACACACTCCACCTCAACATGATTGATTTTGTTCAGCTCATCAACACTCTTTAACCTAAAATTAAAGCCCATATTCAAATGTCAGAAATTCAAATAAAATAATTCAGAATTCAGCATTGTTATGTTCTCATGTTGTCATTGTCATCGTACATTGTCATTGTTGTTCTCGTGTTATTGTTGTTGGTGTTGTTTTTGTTGTTATCGTCCATGTTGTAGTTTGTCATTATTGTTGCTGCTGTTGTTGTCGCCATCATTGTTGTGCATGTTCTTGCGGTTGTTGAAGTTGCATTTTACAAAATTGAAACTGCCATTCATTTGTCAACACCAAACTCCATTTGCTTCAAGTAATGAAATCTATTTTGTTCAAACAACTTCTTTGGCAAAATATGAAGACAGTAAGATCCCATTTAGAAGTTGTAATATATGTGTGTGCAATAGTGACAACAAAATTGGCAACAACAAGACAAATAAGCCCAAAATGAGGTGGGTTAATATTTTGAAGTTTGAGAGCTTCAAATGGCAAATGTGAATATAAAATCCTAAAACACCTAATAAATCAAACTCAGAAAAACAGGTAGGCACTACCGTCCATCCAAATTTAGCCATGGTTAGATAGTTCATCCATAGAGGGGCTACTTATAATCACAATACGGAAAACAGCAATTACTATTGATGGAGGAACATCCAAGTGGTCTCATCTTCAGTGAAGCAAGAGAGGAAAGAAAGGCCAAACTAGTCCAAAGTCCCTACTTCGGTCAAGTTCGGTGGTAGGAGCAGTTTGGGCCCTGCAACTTCCTAAAAGCATAATTTTGTGCTCGTGATTTGTTGAGATTAGAGGAATCGGTGCATGGAGTTGTGCGCATGTTAATCAAGTTTCAATTTCTGCAGGGAATCAACGAATTCAAGTTGGCAGAGCAAGAACCTTTCTGTAACCATGAAAGGGATGACGTTTTGCTCTTTAAACAGGGGAGGAACAAGGAACCGAAAAGGGAGGACAAACTCATAAATTGGTTCATGTAAGAGTTGCAGTTAAAAATAGGATAATTAACAAAGAAATTAAAGATGGGTAACTTAAGGCAGTAGTTACAGTTGAAGCAATAGTTCCAAAGAAAACGAAATTACAATCCATAAAAAAAAAAAAAAAAACAACAGCAGGGAGAGAAGAGACCAGCGAGAAATTGATCGTACTTATACAAAGTTCTGTATTAAATATAAAGGATAAGAAAGAGGAAGGATAGTAAACTTACATTATGTGAGCATATAAGGGGCGGTGAAGAATCTCCAATATATGTATGCCACAGTTTCTATGAGAGAGACACAGAAATCACAGTTTCCATGAGAGAGACAGAGATCAGCGAGGAATGGGGAAAAGCTTGCAATTTGAATAGGGTGGAACAGTGGCAACAAGCTACTTTGTTCTTCTACGAGTATGTTTTCTACGGGCCTAACCCCTCAAAATAAGTGAAGTTCTTTACCTTGTAAACTTTTAAATCGATATGGTTGCAAAAAAATATTTAAGATTTCAAGCCCTGTGGGGTATCTATACTAGGGCTGCCAATAGGAAGGGCCCAGACCGGACCGGGTGGAGGCCCGGTCAAGACCAGAACTGTTCCGGGCTGGACCGGCAAGGAACTGTTCCAGACCGGACCGAAGTCCGATGAAGCACGGAACTGTTCCGGGCCATCCCGACCAACCCTAGGCTCGATGAAGGCCATAATTGTTCCGGGCTGGACCAGTAACGGTCCGGACGTGTAGACCCGAAAACATACGTGGACGCCCGACACGGATAAAATGTGTAAGACCCTGACCCAATAAAAGTTCCGTTAGGCCAATTGGGCCTCGCCCTTTGGTTTTTTTTTTATTCCGAATCTCTTCACAATTTTCTTCCAGTACTTTTTAGAATTGAAAAATAAAAGAAAATTAAAATTCTGTAAACTCTCTGTGCCCACAGCTCTGTCAATATTAGTTAAAAAAACCTCCTTTGTTTTCCCAATCCAGACCGTTCCCCTTTTCTTCAATTCTTAACAGACCAAAAACTTTAGGATTTGGATCTCAACAAAAAACCAAAAACTACAAAAAGATAGAAATAAAACAAAAAAATATGCAATTCCCCAACAAGAGAGAGTAGCAGGAGAGTTAAGATTTTTGAATGAATAACCCATCTGAGTGGGCGTGGTGGGAAGGTTTTGGAGAGGGGGTGGGAGTGGTAGAACGGTTTTAGAGAGAGAAAGCAAACAGTAGGAAAGAGACGAGATTTTTAGGATGTACAGAGAGAGAACCCTGCAGAGAGGTGGCATTGGTTAGTTTTTAGTTTACAGTTTAAAGAGAGAGATGGGTTTTGGGGTTTTCAGCTCTGAACTTTCAGTGTTGAAGCTTAAAGAGAAAGATGGATGGTTTTTACAGAGATGGGATTTGGGATGCTTGGTTTTTTGTGACTCGAGTTTTAAAGAGAGAAAGTACTGGCGTTTAGAGGGATGGGGTTTGGGTTTTGGGCGTTTCTGTTGTTCATGGCGGATTGGAATTGGAATTGTGGCATGTTTTCTCTCATGCGGTTCGTTGCTCTGAGTCGTCTCTTACCGTGCGCACCTTTTTTTTCACCCCTGCCACAAGCGTCCACCCATTGAAACGGCGAAGGCCGTGTCGTAAAGCTCTCTCTCTAAACTGCCGGTATTGTTTAGAGGGTCAGGTAGTTTTAGGTGAGGGTCAGGTAGTTTTAGTTGAGGGCGGGGAGAAGTGGAGAGGATGCTTTTATTTTTGGAAAAGTTATCAACAAAAAAAAAGAAAAAAAATCAAGACGACATTTTTTACATAACTTACCCAGATCTAACTTTTTCTCTCACTTATATTTTCAAAATATATTTTCTATGCAAAAACCCCAACCACATAAAAAATAAAAAAATACCTAAACTACTCTCCCTTATTTTGACCTTACCTACGCTTCTCTCTCCTCTCCCACCAAAATAAGGGGCTTCGTCACGGTGTAAGTGCGGTCTGGCAGTAGCGCTCCAACACTGTTGTCACGCCCCAAGATTTTTAATATTCTCGAGGTGTGACAGACTATTCTTATGTTAAGAAAAATTCAAATTCCTATTAATATATATTGTAATAAAGCAAATTTTTCTATTAATTAAAATTTGTACAAAGTTTGCTTACAACTGGTATTAACATGAAGGCTAGGTATACATCTGTTGATAGAACAAAAATTTATAGTGGTGAAGTTAAACAAAAGTTACAAAGGCGAATTTAGTTATTACATGACTGCATCTTCTTCACAAGCTGGTCCTGATGTGCATTTAACTATGAGACTATTATTACCCTGAAAAATACTTACCATAGTTTGGTGAGTTTGGCTACTCAGTAAGTGATCATCATGGTCCTAAAAATAATCATGATTGGAAGATATAAACATTTTCTGAAGAATGTATGTAAAAAAAAAACAACCTGAGAAAGAATTTCGAGCAAAAGCATTTAACAATTGCACTTTCACAAATCCACAGCTAAACATAATCCAAATGATGGAAATGCATATAAACATTTTAACAGAGATACATTTTCAAATGATTTCATAAAATACCCTACTGGCGTCCCAAGTAGATCACCTATATACCCCACCAGCGTCCTGATGGGTTCAAAAAACCCCTGCAGGTCTAAACATACCTCACCGGACCGGATGAGTCCAAACAACCCCTTCCAGATAGGTCTAAACAATCCCTGCAGGTCCAAACATACCTCACCGATGTCCAGGATGAGTCCAAATAGTCCCTACCGACATAATCGGATAGGTCTTAAAGATCACTGCAGGTCCACTTATACTCAAATTATCTCTGAAACTCTTTAAACATCAAAAAACAACAATATCCTATATGCGAAGTATCATTGAAAACATTAACATGAATTCACTTGAAGCAATTTAATAACTATCACTTCTATTGAAATATCTCTAAGTAGCCATCTCAACATTTTGTGCAATAATTTCTAAAAAGTAATAGTTCTGAAGGACATTCTTGAAATCTAACGTGATAACAGTCTTAGTATCAATAGACGAACTTTTATGAGAATTCAAAATTAAATACAGAAGTATCACAATTTATGGAATTACCAATTTATAAATAATCATTTCCTAGGCAATACTACAATCAAGTGCAAAAATATTAGTTTTTCAAATAATGAGGCAGACATTTGCATATGAATTTTACAATGTCTAAATATTCAAAAACAGTAGAAGGAAATCTCATAATTTTACTAAACGCGGAAATATCACATTTATTTCTAATAATTTACAGTATTTAAAATTCTGAAAAATAGACAGGAAAATTATAAATTTATTTCTAACAATTTACAGCATTTAAAATTCCTAACAATAGATAAAATATCACAGTTTGACTAAAAAGATTATTTTTCAAAACAATGAGGTCACTTACCTATAATATTTGAGAGAGAACTTTCGATAAAATTCGGCTAGAGAGAGAAAGAGTTCACTGCATTTGTAAGAGGGAGAGCGAGAAAAGAAGTTCTGTAGGGCGAGAGTCCTTACCCTCTTTCTATTAAACTTCTCAAAACTTATTATTATATTACTTTATTAAACTCCACTTAATACATGAGGTGTAGTACTAATATTAAATGTGTAATGTTTAAAACCCACGTCAACTAAAGGACGTGGCACTTGAAAGAAAAACGTAAAGGGTAAAAAATGAATAAGAGTAGTGATGGTCCATAAGGACCATAATGCCTATATGAACCATCATACTATAAAGAGCTTTTTTTATTTATATATATAAAGCTCATCCAAGATAGAGAGAGACTTTGTTATAGAGAGAGAATTTGTTTAGGAGATAGAGAGAGGTATTTTTCATGACACCTCAAGTAAGAGGTGTTAATAAAATATTAAATGAAAATATAAAATAGGTAAATAGATTATAATATAAAATGGGAGATGGCATACTAGCCTGTCACGTCAAAAGTAACAAGAGAGAGGGCCAAACACGTTAATTTTGGTATTATAGGTAACAAAAGAGAAGGCTAACCCATTAATTAAAAGGAGTAAGATAAGGAGTGGTCTTTTATGGACCACTCTATGTAAATAGTCCACATGGTATAATATTAGTATGTTGGACTCTCATTCAAAATTATTTCTTTATGTAAGTATTATATCTTATTTATTTATTTATTATTATTATTA